TCTTACAATGCAACAATTAAAAAAAAAAAAGACAGTTAAGAGCTGCCATAAGAAAAATGTAGGATAGTATACGAAAATCTCACTGAAGTTAATGTGTCTGGTGTCTTTGAAGTTTTGTGTAATGCTGCAATGCATGAATTATACCAGATACATATAGTCATAGAAGTTAGGGATTTTCCAATCCCATTGGTCTAGGTAGATGAGTTTAAACTCATGTACAGTCTCCAGTGGAACTTATTTATTCAAAGTATGTCCCACACATCTTAAGTGGTTAAAGCATTCTGCACTTCAGATAAGATATTTTAATAACCAGGAAGAAACACCTTTATTGAGTGACAAAAGCTGTCTGTCAGAGAAATCAGATTAGAAAGGAAAAGAAGGAAGCCACGTTGGATATGGCCCTGCTCTTGGCATTTTCTGGAAGAAACATCATAAGAAGGCAGACCACTGTATTGCATATGAAAGTGGTTGGTTCAGTTTTTTGCACTATTAAAAGAATCGCCAAATAACAACTGATGGAAAAAAAATTTGCCTAAAGACTGACATTTTAGAAGATCCAATGAGCCAATAGAAACTTGTTCCAGTTAATTCGGTGTATATTATTGTTTTTATTTGCTCTTATTTGTGAGTGATTCACTCACTTGATATTGGACAGATCAAAATAGGATAAATAGATGATGACAGATAGATGATAGCAGGGGTGGGATTCTACCGGTTCAGACCAGTTTGGGCGAACCGGATGTTAAAGTTACACCTGGTTCGCTGAACTGGTATTTCAACCGACTACCTGGCCCCTCCCACCCTGCCCCTCCCCTCCCAGGAGTCTCCACGTGATGCAGGTAAGTGCAGGGTCTGCGTGGAGGTTCCGGGAGGGGCAAAACTGGGCCTTCTGGAAGTCCAAAAATAGGCCTGTTTCCAGCTTCCAGAGGGCCTCCAGAGCCCGAGGAGGCCCGGACTCTTGGGAGGGTGAAAAATGGCCTCCCCTGGGCTCTGGAGGCCCACCAGAAGCTGGAAACAGGAAGTTCCAGTAGGCCATGCCCACCCAGCAACTGGGCAGCGAACTGGTTGCTGGGATTTTTGAATCCCACACCTGGGTGATAGATAGAAAGATAAATAGATGAGAGAGAGAGAGAGGATGGAGATAGATAGATAGATAGATAGATAGATAGATAGATAGATAGATAGACAGACAGACAGACAGACAGATAGATTGGGGAGAGATATGATGGATGGGTGGATGGATGGACAGATAACTAGATGATGGATGGATAGATGATAGATAGATAGATAGATAGATAGATAGATAGATAGATAGATAGATAGATAGA